ATCATTATTGTCATTGAGAATCATGCTTCTTTTGTTTTCTCTCTTGCAAGACTGTTTATTTTAAACTCTGCTGCTGATGACTATTTATCTTTAGGATGTGGTGTATGCACTTGCTCACGCTACAGCTCAGACAGGTAGATTCACTTTGGTGGAGCGTTGGCGAACCAATGAACGATTGCTGGCACCTTATGAGAATCCTCTTAAGGTCAGGCATATCTTCTACATGTACTATGATAATATTACTAGGATAATTTGTCATGAGCTTATATTTTATACTGTTAACAAAACATAAAGAGTCTTTAATAAATTAAAATGTTTATATTAAATCATATATAATCATGTATGAGAAATAATTAAATTTACATTGTACTATTTATCAGATTTTGATGAAATGGGGTGAATACTCTTCGGAAGTTCAATTGATTCTGAGACGTTCCACGCCAGAAAATAAAACAAATGCATTATCATCACGACTAACATATTCATCGCGTACAAATGGATTACCAATTTCATTGCCTGAGCATGGAACAGGTACTGCTGGTATACAGGATGAGAGCAAAAATGTGTCAATCACGCAAAGTTCAGATTTTGATGATACACAAGGAGGATTAGAGAGGAATAGAGATACGAGAAAATCACTTACATTTAGTGGCTTTCATGGAAGTATTACAGAAGGTAGCACAGAGGTAAGTCTATATTCTTAAATAAATAAAAAAAAGACAAATGTGTATACGTATATTAGTGTATTATATATATATATATACATAAATTAGATGAATGTTATTAACAATAAATACTTTATTATAAATTTTATTACATTAGTAACATTTATAATTATGTCTTCATGTCATATCTTTGTCTGCATTAGGTTTTTCGTAATTATATAATAATAATTTTTACTATATATGTGCAAATAAAAAATGTTATTTTAGATTCAAATGGAGAATAATGTGGCTGTTGTTCAGCCCACGCCACATTTGAAGAATAAGGATTTGAATGTTCGAAAAAATGTACAAAAACCAGCACAATCGCCTACGCGAGGGACTAATGCTGAAAGTAAGTTATTCTATTGTAATTTATTATACATTTTAAGTATACTGATATAATCATATTTCATATATTGCAACGATATTAATGATAATATTTATCTCGTTATTAATCTTTTTTTTTCTTTAGTTGCAACACACTTGTCGCAAAAAAAAGTACGCGAAGTTCCACCTTACAGAGAGCCTCCAGGCCCAGCTTCGCCACCCTTACGTACTTTGCCACCTTACCGAGATCCACCGCCACCAAATTTAAACAGTCCTGGAAGATCACAATTTGTACATGGCAGTGGAAGTCCTCAGGTGCACAAAGATGATCAACCATCATCTAGTAATTCCATGAAATTGAAAAGGAATCTTATCCAGGTTTTATTGCTACAAATATGTTTGATATAATAATTGATAGGATTATATGCAATTTATAATATATTCTTTATAGGAATTTCAAGATACAAAAGTGCCTACACAATCTGTTAATCCACTTTCTGTTACGGCACAAAATATGGCAACTGTCGCTTATACTCAACGATATGTTGAACTTATAAGACTAGTCAATAAACAACGGGATACTATTAATGCTCAACAAGCTGATCTAACAAAAGTAAGTATCTTTTTCGATAGTTTGACTTATAATATAATTAACGAAGAAAATCTAATAATTTTTTCTAAATATTGACCTTCTTAAGATTGATTCGATTAATTTATCTACAAAAATATGCAATACTATAACATTTATTGATTTTAGTTTGATGCAGAAATATTGTATTGGGAAACAAAGAGTAGAGAACAAATGCATCAAATGGATTATATTTCCCAAGAAATGAATCGCATTGAGTCTACTGGTCGAATAATCGAAGAACAAGTAACTTTTATCTATTTTTTTTCTTTAATTATGTATTATTATTAGTAACGAATTATTAATTATTATTTACCTTGATTAGTTGAAAGAATTAGCTCATGTAGAAGAAGAAAGTGAAATAGTTAGGCAGCAGGAAAAAACACTGAAATCAGAAATAACATTGCTTAGATCAAAACTTGCCAATTGCGAAACGGAACTTCTTCAATGTAAAAATAAGATAAGGTAAATGCAAGCACAATTTTATTCATAGAATTGTAAAAATGATGTTATTTCTCAAGTATTCTTTAATATATTATAATGTAAGAAATTACATTGCGTTAAATTATAATGTGAATTATAACAGGCTGGTTATGGAAGAACTTGCAATGGAACAACATAATATAAGTCGTGAAACAGATGAGCGACAAATTATGGAACGAAAAATAATCAGCGAAGTAGAACATTTGCAAAATGAGGTGGAACAAGCCAAACGCGCAACTGAATTAGCTTCACAACATGCAGAATCTTTAAAATTAGAAGTAGTTAATCTGGAGTCTGCGATCGTTGAGAAGAAATTGCAAGTAGAGAGATTGGTAGCTGACATGAAAGAAGCAAATCTACAAAGTTTAGCTGTTGCATGCTCAGATGAACAAGTCAAATCATTATTAGAAGGTCATTATATTTATATCATATCATATTTATGTCATGTGTATATGTATATGTTATTAAGTTTGGTTTCATATATAAAATGTTTAATAAATAAAATCATTTAATCATTAGGTGCCCATAAACCTGGAAGTACACGTAAGATGATAGGATCACCAAGGCAATTGGAAACTGCAGTGCCCACAAGTAAGAATCCACATGGTGTATGGGTATAAGAAAACCAATATACCTGATAATACTGTCGTATATGTGAGAAAGCATATCAAAGAGTATACGTTAAAATATTTGTATGTTTATATTGTTTAAAGTACGTGAAGTACTTAATTTTTCTACATATCTTTTATGCATTTATTTCAGCAATATTTCAATTATTATTATGTGTCATTGATAAGTTTTTATCTTTATGTACATATATATCTATATCTTAATTTAGCTCATGTATTTACAAAATATTAGTGAAAGTATTAAGTATGTAAATTGTTACATGAATCGCTCATATTTTTGAGAATATTTAATATATTTTACATTTTCATTTTTACACATGATTATTTAAAAAAAGAAAACGATTTTGCTTTTGAATATTATATATATTTGTTAGCAAATTTTCTTTTTATGATCAAATATAGCTTTCCAAATATATAGATATAATTCCAATTTATATAGGAGATAGTTGAGTCTAAAAATCAAAATTATTAATACGCTCTATTAATTATGTATTAATTACATTGATATTTTATAAATAGCTATTTTGTATTGTTTATAACATTATGAAATATTTTGCCATAATAGATTTAATTATGGTTTTGTATTTTTTTTAGATTAACCACAAACATTAATAGTAATTAGTATAATATAATTATATGATATTTTTAATATTTTCCAATTATTGATGCCATGTTAACCGTGAAACTAAAATAGCTTAAGTAGTCTACATTTGAAATTTATTAATCAACTCAAAAAGATCATGCTTAAAATTGCAAACGAATTTATTTGAAAATTTTTTTAATTCAAGTTTAGCAAATTTGTGACTTTGTTTAATATACGATGTTTGATAATTTAAAAAAAATGTTTTGATACAATTCAATAATCTTGCCATTCTGCGGTTTTCACATAGCATCGACAAAATATATTTTATAAATATATAATTTTTTTATACATAAATCTCAAGTATTTTTATGACACATTGATATTTTTTATTAAGAGCACACATTTATTTTGTATATCTACAGTTATATCATTAGAGTTAAAAATGTTGAGTATATGCCACTTATAATATTGAAAAAGATGTTATAATTAATGATTACAATATTTGAACACTATAACTGTGCAATAATTGATCTTTGTCTAAAAAATAACAATGTATTCTATGTGTACAATTTATGCGTTCTATAATATTATTGTTCTGGTAAAAACAGTCCTAATTTAATTAAAAACCTCTGAATTAAATTTTTCTGGTAAATAAATGTCTTGCACATTTTATGAATTATTGTTAAAATTGATATTTTTTATTCTAAAAATTTTTTTTATTTTTCATTTCAAATTATTTTTTTTTCTTAGGGTTTTCTCAGCCTTTCTTAGCAGAAAATTGATATATTTTTTACCATTTCTTAATGTAACATATTCTTATGTGCATTAACTTATGCATTCCCATTATGTTGGATTTCTCTGTTTCTATCACTATCGCTATTGCTATCGCTATTTCTATCGCTATCGCTGTTGCCTTCGCATTGTGTTTAGGCCTTAAAACATAAATCTAAATAAGATAGTTCTTGTTAAAGACATAATGCTAATATACTTGTTGCTGATATATTTTGTGTTCAAAGCTGGAAAAAATATTAAAAAATATAGATTTCTTTATCTATTTTACCAGCGTTGATCGCCATATTGAGATAAAAATGGATAAAGAAATCTGTAATTTTTCATTTTTTCCTGCTTTGATTGGACACGAAATACACCAGTGACAAGTACATTAGCATGTACATTTTAGTGGAAAAGGAATTTTTAGTCTGTGAAACCACTACGAAGAAATTTGACAGGAATAAAAATGTAAAAAACACTAGTTTTATTGGTAATACGGTTCCATCATTCGCTTAAATCACTTTGGTTGTAGTAAATAATCCACTCATTACGTAAGAGTAGACAGATTAATTTCCAAGCAGTGAAAATCCATATAGTTATTACTTATAAAATAATGACTTTGCTATGACTGCACTTTTGTCAGCAGAAATTTTTTATTACTACAGATTTAGAATGATCCTCTATTAATTAATGTGAAATTCATTATACTAATAACAAGGGATTCAAAATAGATAAGTTTCTTTAAACTGTAAATTATATAATATTATTGAGTTACCCTTCTTCCTTATAATAAATATCAAATAAGAGTAACAGATAATCTTATACATATTAGAATTAATTATGCAATTAATTATACAAATGGAAAAGTACTTAGGTTAGATTAATTATATTACTTTATTTAGTATTGACATCAACGAGATATTATTATTAGGTCGAGTCATAAATAACTTCCGTTTTTTTATCAGACATTTATTTTGCTTTCATTAAATAACAAAGTTATATTAATTTATTATGTATGATCTTCTCCAATCTTTCTGACAGCTTATCAATTCCTTCTTTGTAAAATATGGTTGGTTTGGACTGGAAAAAATTTTCGACAGCCTGATTAACTTGCTCTTCAGAATTGAAGGTTTTTCCATTCAAAAAGTTTTGCAAGGAACAGAAAAGGTGATAGTCTGTTGGGGTAAGATCCGGGGAGTAAGGTGGGTGTAGTAAAACATACCATTCAAGTTCAAGAATTTTTTCTTGAATCGCGATCTTCTTTATTCCGTTCACTGAGATTGTGAGGTACCCATACTCCTAACTTGCTGATTTTCCCTAATTTCTCCAGGTGGCGGCAAACAGTTGATTGTGATGTATTCAACCTTCCTGCTATATCTCTTGTTGATTGACGTGGATTTTGCTCCAACATTGCCTTTAAAAGCTTATCGTCAAGGTCGGAAGGACGTCCCGCTCTCGGTCCGTCCTTTAAAGTCGTATCTCCAGAACGGAATTTGGCAAACCAATGTCTAACTGTCCGATCGCTTATTAGACCTTCACCGTATACACTGCATATTTTTTCAGCTGTCCCCTTAGCACTATTGCCTTGTTTAAATTCCCAAAGCATCACATGACGAATATGCACTTTTTCACTCTCCATTTTAGGGGTTATCGTTTGTCCCGGTGACTTATAATGGGTAGATACGATGAGTAGATTCTACCTAGCCGTATCGGAAGTTATTTATGACTCGACCTAATATTGGGTCATCTAACTAGATGTGTGTTGATGGTCATATATCTAGTGACGAAGTACCGCGAATACTTTTTAGATGACCCAATATATAAAGACCATTAGCCCTGGGTATCGATCTAACTTTTACTTTAGAGCGGAAACTTGAAAAATGAAATTTTTTATGTATTATGTACATATACAATTACACACACATCATACAAAAAATTTCCACTTTTCCGCCCTAGAGAAAAAGTTTAAATATGATTGATACTTTGGGCATTTTCGTGACATATCAATAGGGCCCCGAGGGCCTGGAGATTGAAGAACGATGACATTACCGACAACTAATAAAAATGTACGATTATTAACATAAATTTTGATGATTTATTAATAAATTCGTGATTTTTTATTATATAAATATATATTGTATAAATAAGTACGCATATTTTTAATATCTTGTATATTACTGAAAAATTAAAATTTTTTCTTTGCAGTTATCATCTCATTGATAATTTATAAACTCGGATAATAACGTTAAAATCACAAGTTTAATTAATAATCAAGTATTATTAAGTTTTAAACATATATACATGTCTACGAAACTAATAAATCATGAAATTAGTTCCGTATTAACAGTTTCTTACTCTTAATAACTTAAATTTTAATAGTCACGCGAATTTATAAGTGTTGACCATCTTTAATAATATCTCGTTAGTGATATATAGATAAACGTCTTATTATAGAAATCAGAAAAGCAAGGAATAATAATAAACTTAAAAATGATTAGAAAATTAGAATCATAAATGAGAAACAATAACATAAAAAACAATAACATAAGAAAATGTGCTTTATATTTATTTATTAACTATAATAAAAAATAAAAATATATTAATGCAATATATTGATTTATATCTATATTTTATTACATTAATCTTAATACATGAATTCTGTGACAATATTTTGCCTTTAATAATAAAAATAGAACATTGTTTCAGAGTATATATGCATATAAATCAATATGTTGCAAATGTTTTGTTTGCCATTAGTAGTATGAATAATACTATGAAAATATTAATCAGTATTCATTTATATATTATTTTGTATACATATATTTTGCAACTAATATTCTGCTTTTAATAATAAAGACAGTATATTGCTACAGAATATATGTATATATTATAAAATACATAATATAAATGAATACTGATTAACGTCACATATATAGTATTATTGATTTATATTACCATAGTATTATTCATTTACATATTATTTAGAGATTTCGTTTTTCAATTCTAATTTTTATAGGTTCAGCTATAGATAATACGATGTCTGAATTTAATTTGATTTTGTCTATCTCAATGCTTTGATTTAATTTAAATACGAACGTTCTTATCAGCATTGCTAAAATAACCTTCATAGAAATCATTGCGTATTTGGAACCTGCAAATTATAAATATTTACCAATTGTAAATCAATTTTATAACGATAAATTATAATTTATTCATATTTACCCATGCAATTTCTTGGTCCGTCACTAAAAGGCATGTAATAATATGGCATACAATTTCTTTTTCCTGGAAGAAATCTATCCGGGTTAAACATCATTGGATTCGGCCAATATTTTTCATTCCGATGCATTTGTATAAACATTATAAAAACATCTGCACCTTTTGGTAAAACGTATTCTCCTGAAACGTATTTTTTAATATAATTTTTTGATACATGTAAAAACGTACATACTTAAGGCTCTCATTAATTTACTCACCACAACTGTCTCATTGTGACATTGAAAGTGAAAAAATATACAATACAATGAAAATTTGTGCAAATTATATTTGCATAAAAAATTTTTTAATAAAATAGAAAAACAAGTAGTATAGAAAATAAGGCTAATAGAAATCGGCGCTGTAAGAATTGCGCTTCTCACTTTTAACATAAATATGTTAAAAGGTGTAATAAAAAAAAATCATCATTATTTTTACTACACCTAATATTTAATTTGAAGGCATATTTAACAATAAATTAAAATAACACGAACTTTTGGCTACTTCTTAGTCTTATTAATGCAAAAGACATTACTTAAGAGGGAACCGAATATGAATACTACCGTAGTTTGTATAGCGCTAGTGTTTTGTATTGTATGAACAAACTCTCCAGTTTATAGAGCCGCGGTCCGTTTCACGTTCACAACGCTTAAAAATCATTTTATGCTTTATTTGTCAAATGTAAACGAAGACAAATGATGTTTATGAGTGTGTCAGCATGAATCGGACCACGGCCTAGAAATATTATTACTTATATCATATCAACTATTATATCAACTATATACCGGCAATTCTCATATATGCAGGTAAAAGAACAGACTAAATTGGAAATCTCAATTTGAGACAGCAGTGAGTTCACAAGTGTCTTAACAATAAAAATGTAAATTTTGAAACAGAATACTATAGATGTAGTAAACTTTTAGCCGTAAGATTAAAGATTGAAAGATTGAAGTTTGATCAGAACAAAAAGAGCCAAAATTTCTTTATCCTCATTGATAAAATTTCAATCTTTAATCTTTAATCTCAATCTTCAATGTATAGTCTGATTCCGGCCTAAGGACTGCTGCATACATTTTCTATAACAGTAACCTTATGACGTACTATAAAAATTAGTCAATCACAGTCTAAAATTGTAAAAAAACTCTGTGCTCTGATTGATTAATTCTTATGATACATTTTATAATTATCGTTACAGAATGTGTATGCGGGACCCCTAACGAATGCATCTTCTACTTTATTCAAACGCGTATGTACATCTGTCCTTATTATCTATATTGCAAGATCTAAATCTGGTAGACACTATTACTGAATACTACTTTGTTTCCATTCTGAATCTTTGCTGAGCACTTAATTTGTTTAAGTAGTCTGAGGTCTATAGATTTATTTTATTGTACATATAAACTATAAAACTTTTGTACAAAGCAAACATTGACTTCAGATGACAGTTAAATTCTCACAAAGCTCCGATTAAATTCCCAGGGAGTTCATTTTGTTGAGGAGCTCTCGGGAAGCTTATAATAAATTCGATTAAATAAGCTCTCAGTCCAATCGACACAAATTGAAAGTAACATAACATCAATGTTATAATTTCGGACTTCACAATATAACTTATATATAACTATGTATTATATGTTTTATACATTTATATTTTGTAGAGTACGAAATAACATTGACATTATGTTATTTTCAATTTGTGTCGACTGGGAGGGAGTTTATTTTGCTGAGCTCTCTCGAGGAATTTAAAAATAATTCCCTACGAACCAAAATGTTCTCAAAAGTGAACAAAGGAGTTCCCGAGGAGTTCTTTTTGAAGCTTAAATGAAGCTACACAAATTTTATGAATTCCCGGAGAACTCCCCGTGTTGTCTGGGAAAGCAAGTGAACTTTTTAATCTTTTGGAACTTTATATTTGTGCGTATTTTAATTCTGTAAGAAAAATTTTGTAATCTATAAAACCAGATTTTCACTGCAATTTTTATAATAATATAATTCATAGTAATTCCTGTCACGCCTAGTATCCCTTTAATTTGTTCATTTCTTGCTACGAAAAATTTCAAGGCGAAATTAGCAATATAAATACGCGGTTGTTTTTTAATAAAATTTTCTTGAAAAATAAACAAACCCATTTTTAAATCTTCTGTCAGTTCTCGTCCAATCATAGGGATAGTAGGAAAAAGTCTTAAAGTTTCCTTAATAATACACTCCAAGTAATGCATATGTTGTAGATCTTCATATTTAACTGGTGCAAACTTCGGAGTTTCCGTGCCATAAATTTCCAACAATTCTTTATACGCTTTTTCCTATAATATAAAGTTAAATAATGTATTTATACACACACATATATATTCAACTGACGATCTACCTTTAATTTTTTTGTGATCCGCTGACTCATAGTCGAACATATATAATTATATGTTCGGTTATTTTATGCAACATTAACAAAATATTATGCGACTTATTTTGAAAATAATCTATACAATTTTGTGTTATTTTTATTAATTTTTAAAAATATTACATGCAGGTAGTATCGATCAGGTCTTATAGACCAGATATCAAGAAACGATTTTAAAACTTGAAGAATATTTCATGAAACGCATATATTGTTCTTTGATATTATACATTCAGGATGTTCAGTATAATGATTTACACAATTTTTCAAACACTTTCGACAGTTAAAAAAAAGTTGAAAAGTGAATATTTATTTGTTTTATACAGGCTACAAAAATGCGATAAAAAATTAAAAAAAAATTTTTTTTCATGATAAAATCAAAGTCATCATTATGTTCTGTATACTAGTCAGAGTTGTAAGTACTGCTGTTATAAATTTGCTGCAAATTTGATATTAAATATCAATGAAATCAATAAAAGTGACATTTCGGTAGTGATTTGAATTCGTCTTGATTTGAAAACTCTTACAAAAATTATGGAAAAAAATTATATGGTTTTAATATTTTTGTAAAAAAATGTACCAATATTACATCACATATATTATAATAATATATATTATAACATATATTATATTATAATATATTAATATATACATACTTGTATTTCTTTGAAATTTGCCAACATAATGATCACAAAATTCATCGTAGTAGCAGTGGTGTCCGAAGACTGTAATTAAAAATAATTTATTATCTATATTAAAAATATTATTTATAAATAGTTATACATATAAAAGATGTCATTACATACTGCTCCTAGCATTGTAACTATATTGTCCATCATTTCCTTTCGTGTGAATTTTCCGTTAGAAAATGAATGCATTAAAATGTCACAAAATCGTGTATCTATATTGCATACAGAAAACGAAATGTGTATTACTTATGTATATATAAATAATCAACTTTATATATATTTTAATTTAAAACTATAATCTTAAAATTGTAAATTTTAAAATGAACTTTCAAATAAAAACAATATAAATTTAATCAAGGGAAAATGAGAATACAGCGAAGGATTAACAAAGCGCAAATATAATGCTAATTCTACAATGAATCGACGATACTTTTCATACACTTTTTTTCTAGTTTAACTAGTTCTCAGTTCATGTTACCGCAGTAAAAAGATAAAAGACCAGTAATTATAAGCTATTAATTTTGCAATGAAAGAATATGTCTATTTTTAATATCTTTTAGATTCTTTATTTTATAATTAGTACTTCATTTTATGAGTTATGTTTGATGTGTAATTATTGTGCAATGATATTTACAAGGGACTTTTATCATTCATGATCTAGACTTAATACAATATATTGATAATAAATATAAATAATCAATTATGTTTATTCATTACTATCTTCATGTCTCTATATTATTTTATTAAGAGATGCAGATATCCGGCTAGTATCTGATTTCTGGCAATATATACAGTCGAAATTTTATATTGAAATGACACGCATCATGGTGTGAATATCCTGAAAATTTTTATCACTGATATTTTTAAAAAATATATCAATGGTAATGAAAATTTTCAGGATATTCGGACCATGATACATCATTTCAATATAAAATTTCAGCCTCATATATTGCCGAAAATCAGATACTTGGATATCCAATGCATCCCTATAATTTTAATCAATTTTTGAAAAGAGTTAGAAGAACATTAAATGTCAGATATAACGTCAAGAAAGTATCAAACAATTATTTAATTTGACATCATTTTGACGATCCAGATTTTGATCTTATTTTGATATTAATTTGATATCATATTAACTTTTCTCTTTAGGAATAATTAGCATATGAAGAAATTACGTCTCTTTAGACGCCGTAAATAAACAATATAATATATTATAAGATCGTATATGTGTGATAATACAACTATAGCAAAGACTTAAATAAATGCCACAGAATGCAAGAAATCCGGATTCGACTCCCGGCCGAGGTAATATTTTTCGCAATAAGAATTAATTATTTACAGATTTTAATATATCACTCAGCATAATTAAGATCAATACTAAAAATTTAAAATGCCTATTACGATCGAAGCTGGATCTTTATTGCTTTAAATAATTCAATCTTAAATTACTAATATATACACTATATATGGACTTGCATATACACTATGTTGTAGTCTTTTCGAACTGCGTTTTATTAATCGCGTTGTATTCTCATTTGCCCTGTTTGGTTAAATTTATTGTTTGTTAAAAGTTTATATAGACATAAATAAAATTTGAATATAAATATATGTACATATAAATTACATATAATATATGTACATATAAATATTTATATTCTAAATGTATATATTAAAAAAAAATTCATATAAAAATAAATAAGAGTTATTTTAACAGTAAAAGATGAAGCAATCGTAAAATAAAAAATAAAAAATAGCCCTGTAATATTTTCTTAATTATAATTTTCAAAATAATATATTTTAGAAGTAATTTTAAAAGTATTGCAATTAATATTGTTGTATAGGGTAAAAGAATCACATAAAATATTGACAGACTTACAAGATGCGTCACCATTAAAGGACATTGTACTTGATTCATTTTTCCTTTGCTGTATCATCTATATTTAAAAAGATTGCATGTATAGTAGAAAATAATTAAGAATATTAATAAATATTTATACCTTTTCAATGACTGAATGATTGGAATTATAACATTTTTTTTCCTAAAGATGTGAGATTAAATATAAGATCAGGAACTAAGAATATGTTTTGGAATCTATATCGCCAAATTTGTCTTACACTGAAAAATGTTTTTTTAAAATAAATTTTTATATATGAATGATATATTAGTGTAATAGTATATATTTCTGCACAACACAAAGTTCCTATTAAGTTCCCAGAGAGTTCATATTGCCGAGCTTCCAGGGAGCTTACAAAATTCGACTAAATAAACTCTCAGGAAGTTCATTTTGCTGAGCTCTCGGGAAACTTAAAAAGAACTCTCTATGAATCAAAATGAAATTCCCAGAGAATTCTCAAAAGCAAACATAGAAGTTCCTGGGGAGTTCTTTTTGAAGCTTACAAAAATTTTATTTTTAACATATTATGTATTTCGGTTTTAACATATTGTGATTATTAACTTTTATAAGTATAATTTAACTTTATAAGTATAATTAAAAAAAAATCTTTTTTTAATTATATTATTATCTATTTGGGGAAAAAGTTTCTTCGTATTTTTTAATTCAAAATTGTATATACAATATCTTCGTCAAAAATGAACGAAATTTAAATTTAAAAAAAGGATTTCAAAACTTGAAATATCTACTTTTGAAAGTTACTGTATTTTTTGAGTTTCTGTGAGTTTGGTAATTTTAAAAAACTACGAGCTCAAAAAGATAAAAAAGTAATAAACTGAAACGCTTAGAATAAAATTACATACCTTGTAGCTGTATTCAACCATTCATCTATTAAATTCATTTCCGTCTTGACACCCATCATGGTATCTTTACACACAGTAACATATAAAAGGAACTTTTGAATTAATATGTTGATTTTGTAAAGTTTTTAGAAACAAAAAAATAATTACTTATTTGTCAACTAAATTCGGAAAAAGTTATGAAAATCAAGAATTTATTATTAATTGTTGAAAGTCATAAAATATTTTTTTAAGATTTGTAAATATATGTATTTGATATATCTCTAAAATAAAATTAATTACACATTACCAATTACACATTACAATCTGAAATACGTTTCACTGATGCAAGGTCTACAATATAAAAGTTATAGTGGTTGTAAGGTCTTAATTCATAGAAAACTGACCAATCATAATCGATTATTCTTTTCATAGTGAATTGATTGGTTAATTTTCTACTATTTCTTATCCTATCATTGCTATGGCTTCTATTATAGACCCCGCGTTATGATCTGTGACTTACATTTTACGTCTTAAGGTGGATTCTACATTATTCGCATCGCAGTATTGTCGTCGTAAGTATTGCAGTCCAAGTTATAGTTCGACTCTGATTAGACCGTAATGCTAATTGTGACATTCTTGCGATGCTGCGATAATGTAGAACCAGCTTTATGTAGATCGATTGAGTTTTATTATAATTATACTGAAAAGCCTTTCATTTCTTTCGAGACATTTACCTGGAGCAAATGAAAATGAAATACCCAGTACATTATGTGATTTAAAAAAATCATATTCTCTATATTTATTGCTCTTTCAACGCATAATTGTGTAATTGATTTTATTTTAAAAACATATCTAAGATATCAAATTTATAAAACATTTTATAAGACTTTCCGCAATCAATAAATAATGATTTTCATAATTTTCTCTGAACAAATAGTAATCTTCTAAAAGATCTCACAAACAATTTTCAATGATTAATTTACGCAATTATGTAAAAAGTAATAAATTTTTAATATCTTTTTTTAATTTCATATCATTTTTTTCTTATGAATAATAATTAATTAATAATTATAATAAAATTAATTTTTTTATATTGTTGTATACAATCTTTTGATTTTCTGTAAATTTTTACAATTCCGATCATTTATTTGTAATTGTTTTTACAAAATTATATACACGTATATAATTTAAAAGTAGAATAAATCGTATTCTCTTACCACATGAAATTTTTAAGGTACATCTGTATAGATAGTCAAGACATTCAATTTCGTTTCCACTTTGTGCAATTTTTTCTAAATCTTCAGTAAATATTAAAGATTCTCGAACGAATATGTCAAAATATTCTTTCATCGGGATCATACCAAATGCTGGAGTTATCATTTTTCGATTTTCAGTCCATATAGATGCTAAATTAAATATTAGAATAAAATAATAAAAGAGGAATAAGCCTTAATTAATAATAATAAAAAATATTAAAAAATAAGCTGTTTCCTAATAGCTTTGTGGCGTAGCTTTCAAAGTGCAAACAAAAATATTTTATATGATGAGAAAAACTTATTAGGATTTATTAGAAATTAAAGTGAAATACAAATTAAAAGTAAGTGCAATCATAATGTCGTTCATATTGCATTCTCTATTTTATTTGTAAAATAAATTAATAGATGATTATAAAAGAATAATCTTTATTGTTAATATTTCTTAAATCTATTAGTTACAAATAAGTATACAATTAAATAAGTATTTTTGTCTAAATATATCTTACCAGGAGCTGTCACTAATCCCATGCCAAATATTGGTTCTAGACATTTATATGCTAAACTTTTATTCAAACAATGGCGGTTTTGCAAGATAATCTACAACATTACACATTTATTAATATTTACACATGTTTGCTTCAATCAAAATGTCTAATAAACGTATACCTGATTCCAAACGATTTCAGAGTTATGAGATATTGAAGTAAGAAAATATGAGTCGAAATAAATGCTATTTAATTCGACTCATCTTTTATTCTGATGTTTTAATTATTGAATCTTATTCTCATAAACTAGACCTTATATTCATTCTCAAAATGAGATTCTGAATTCAGAACAATTGTGGTAAGTAAGTAATATGTACATACTTAATGCTATCGATATTATCATCATGAAACTTCAAATATTTTTCTAAAAATCCGAAACAATTTATTAATTTGTGCTAGAAAGTGTGTTGATGTTAATAGAAAAGAATTTTTTAGCATTTTTTCTAAAGCATTAAATAGAATAACAAACATTAACGTATACTATATAAAATGTTTTTTTACTTTAATATTCACATAACTCCGAAACATTCGGAATCGGACATGATTATTAGACATTTATGATTTGTTTTCATGTACTGAAATTGCTGTAGCAGTTTTTGCACTATATGGAGGGACATGTTATATAAATACAGGATGTTTCCTGTAACTTGATCATTTGAAATATCTCCGTTTTTGATGATACGAGAAAATATCACAGAACCCAGTGAGAAATGATAATGGAATCGACGTCGATTCGATATCAATTTCATTGTTTGTCATTTCTTACTGGGGAAAATCTTGTTCGATTTAAAGGGATACATATCATGATGAGCAAAACATTTTTCTCAAGTTGTATCTTTTGAGACTTCACCTCCACTTTTTAAAATGAAATTATATGATTCTTTTTACACAATATGATTATTATCTCTAATTATTCTGAATAAAAGTATTAAGATAATAATAATAATATCAAAGAACCAATAATTTATGAGATATTTTATACATTATTCTGGCATATATTGACATAAAATATTAAATAATGCGTAAACTATTAATTTTTTGATAATCATATCTTACTTTTATGAACAGAATAATAAGATGAATTAATTAGTGTAAAGAAAATACATAATTGATACAAAGTATTTTTAAAAAAAATATGTGAACAAAATAGATAATTTTTAAAATAAGCAACTATATGTTTTCTTTCCACTATTAATTCATCTCATTATTCTGTTCATAAAAGTATTAACATACGATTAAAAAAGTTAATAGTTTACGAATTATTTAACATTTTATGTCAATATATGCCAAAATAAAGTATAAAATATCTTTGATATAATATAAAATATAATTTCATAAATTATAATTGATTTCTTTATATCACTACCTTAATATTTTTATATGTAAAATAATTAGAGGAATTGTATTGTGCAAAAATCATGTAATTCCGTTTTAAAAAGTGGAGGACCTTGGTCTAAAAAAATGACTTTGAGAAAAATTTCTCATCATAATATGTACACCTTTGAATTGAACAAATGGTATTTTCTCATATCATCATAAATAATAGATATATATTTAAAATGATCAAGTTACAGAAAATATCTTGTATGTATAAGATAGCTAAGTTGATAAATATTCATACATATGACAAAATGTAAATGTTATTTTTCTACCTTTATTTGGTCCGGTTCATATATTGCGATGATTAACTTTGGGCCTATCCATATTCGGAATGGAGATGGATAAGTTTCAGCGAATTTAATGCAAACATTTAAAAAATCTGAAAAGTTTTGTTGTATATATAGTTGTGAGATTATCCGCAAAAGAAGGAGTCTCCATAAGGGTCGATTTCGGTACCTTTCAGATTTTGTTCAAACACATAAAAATCTATTTCTTGAGGTCAATTATATTTAATTAAAGTGATTATATATATAGCTTAAACGGAGTGATGGTGTTGTCATAGGAATCTTTATAAGGCCGATTTTCGGCCTATTTCAATTTCATTTTAAATAATCGGAAACGTTTTATTACTGTAAGAATTAGATGATTTTAAAATCAGATGATTTTAGCTTAAACGGACGTATTTGACACCTGTTATCTTGTAACTAGTCAACCCTACATTTACCACCAATACTCTTATGACTAATCTTTTCGGCGTATTTTATAGATATACGTATTATCTGGAAAGCTTCTCTACCCGTATTTAACATTACCTAAGATCAATGTCGTGGTCGTGTCAAATTTCTGATCCCTTTTAGGGTGGTTCATTCATGTGAGTCCCCTTGCTTCTCACGTTTGGGATACTTGATTCACGTGAGTCTCCTCGCCTCTCACGTTTAATCACATTTAATCTTCGAGAAGACTTGAAATAAAAGGATCAGAAATCTGGCACGTCCGTGTTATTGATCCTAGATAATGCTAAGTACGGGTAAAGAAGCTTAAAAAATAAATATATATTTAAAATGAAATTGATATAGGCCGAAAACCGGCCTTATGGAGACTCCTGTGACAACACC